CTAGCCGAGGTCCGCGTTGGGTACCAGTCACAGAACATCTCCTGCTTCTTCCGCCTGGTGGACCGCGACTCGGTATGGGGCTACGACCTGGGCCTGCGCTCTCTTATCCCTGCTGTGCTCACGGTCAGTATGCTGGGCTATCCGTTCATCCTGCCCGATATGGTGGGGGGCAACGCGGGGGGGGAGCGCACAGCCGGCCGCCAAGATGGGCCGGGGCCGGAGCGCGAGCTCTACGTGCGCTGGCTTGAGGTTGCGGCCTTCATGCCTGCCATGCAGTTTTCAATCCCGCCCTGGCAGTACGACGCAGAAGTGATAGCCATCGCACACAAGTTCGCTGCTCTGCGCGCCTCGCTAGTGGCGCCACTGCTGCTTGAGCTCGCTGGTGAGGTCACCGACACTGGCGACCCCATCGTGCGCCCCCTGTGGTGGATCGCTCCAGGGGATGAAACGGCTCACCGCATCGACTCGCAGTTCCTTATCGGGGATACGCTGTTGGTGGCGCCGGTGCTGGAGCCTGGTAAGCAAGAGCGCGATGTCTATTTGCCCGCCGGCAAGTGGCGCAGCTACAAGGGTGAGCTTTTTGACAAGACACCGGTGCTGCTCACGGATTACCCCGTGGACCTGGATGAGGTCGCCTATTTCACCTGGGCGTCCTGACCCACTTTCAAGACCCAGGAATCCCACAGTCCTGACTCCAGCCTTCATGCAGATTTTTAATCCTTTACCACACCCGAAGGGTGCACCCTCAGGAAGTTCCCACCTCTAGGAAATGGGCACTGACAAAATGGGCACTGACTGAAAAGTGCTCCGGCCAACAGCAGTAGGTGAGACCTGGAAGGGGAAGTACGGAAACAACCTCCTGCCCCAGTGCACACTCCTGACAGCGCCTCACCCCCACCCTGGACATAGAGAACAGAAACCTCTTCCCTGGGTTGGATGGCCCGGGAACTCAGGAAAAGTCTGTTCTTTCTATTACAAGGGTCTGGTTTTAAAAAGCACACAGAAACATCTCTCCTCCCACTGGCCTTTGTAGCCCTTTGTCCTCTAAGGTGAGGAACCGATGCTCTTCAAAAAGTTCCCAAATAGTTTTCTACCATATTATTTAGAAAGTGTACCTTTAGATGGGCAGTGGTGGCGCACGCCTTTAATCCCAGCACTTAGAAGGCAGAGGCAGGCGGATCTCTGAGTTCAAGGCCAGCCTGGCCTACAGA